CAAGGGGCTTGCTTCCCTCGATTCCGTCTGCGGCAGCTCACCACCTTTCTTTTTTATTCCTTCCATTTATTTTTATTTATTTCGTCCCTGCTTTTATCCGCTCATATTTGTTTTCGTAACCGGATTATTAGTTTAACAGATGGTTTTTATGGCGCTCTGGACTGTCGTGCAGATTCGAGAGGATTATGTTGCGCTTTTTTTCGCCCGAGAGATTGGTCAGGACATCATTTATTTGGTGAAAAAATTAGCTCTTGCTTGGACCTTGGAGGAAGAAGAAACGTTTCTACATAGGAAATCGCAAACCACGTATCTTAGTTGGTGACGTTGCAGACTTCCTGTCATACTTTATTACTTGAATGGAGAACTACTCAACGTCAATTCTTAAAAACTTCCATGATGTTTCTTCTTTGTCTGAAGAAAATTCTGATGAAATGATGTTGATTTGTTCTCCTGTACAGGAATAACATGGGAACAGAAATGGAGAATTTGAACGCAATTTTTCTTATTGCTTCATCTGAAAGTATGAAAAGTTTCATACCGAAAGAACTGATTTCACCTTTTTTTGAAAAAAAGATTCTGATATTAGAAAAAGCGTAAACATGAGAGAATGAACCACCAACTGTACCACTAGGTAGTGACGTCAGCTGGCGGCATCTCTCATTTCAACGCATGCATTCTAGCAGATTAAATCATTTTGTCATATCACCTCTAATAAGTGTTCAATTTATTTGAGGGTATTCTCGTGTTCAGTTCGCGCAGTAGTTACTTTTGAACAGGAAATCCAGCGAATGTTAGACACCTGCAAATTTCTCGTTGAATAAAAGGTCACTTACGTCTTTTTTAACAAAAAATAAGACAAAAATTGGATTGCATTTTGCAAAAAGACATCACGAGCATTCCAATGTTACTAGACAATTTGCAACCTACATTCTTTGAAAAAAATTACTGGAACCATGCAAAAATTTAATCAACAAAGGTAATTTTGTCTTGAATTTATAATTCATTTGGAGTAAAGATAAGACTTGCTTAGATGATCAGTATATGTTTCCAAGGTAAAAAAGGTTGCACAATCTTAGCGGCATTTGAATGCTCTTTCCCCCAATGAACAAACTTTTCTGAGACCAAATCTTTTTGACAATTCTTTTATCATTTATTTACAGTAATTAGACACACATTTAAGTAAGGGTAACACCTTCAGTACCATTTTAATAAGGATATTTCCCCTTCCCGAAGGGTTCTTTCACCTATTAGTGGCAATAGATATTTATGACCATAAACAAACTGTAAAATTTAAATTTCATACTTCAGTAATTTCTAATGACCATTTCTGTTTTGACCATAGTTTTTCAAGTACCAAAAATGTAAAGTCTTTGTAATTGAATTTTTTAGGGGGGGGGTGTTATGTCAGAGGACGGTTCCCCCCTTTTGTAATTTATTTTACAATACAGATTTAAAAAAAAGAAAAACATTTGAATGCTCTTGGTTTTTTTTCGCAAAATGCAATCCAATTGAGCCTTGCTTTCTACTTTGTTGAAAGAGTATCTGATACACTGAAAAAAAATCTCGGTGCATTTACCAAGAAAAGGGTAAAATTACCAAGAATTCAGGGTTTTATTTCATCCCAGTTTTTTCTTGGTAAAATTACCATTTATGGACTTGGTAATTTTAACGAGAAATCCCGGTAAAATTATTGAACTTTCTCGGTAATTTTACTGGACCTTGGTAAAAACGCTAATATTTTTTATCGACTGTGGTAGAATTACCGAGATATAATAGCAAAGTTACCGGGAAATGATTACCAATAAAAGTGGTGGGTATTCTTACCTGGAAAAAACAGTGAAAATACCGGTTTTTAGGTAAGCTTACCAGTCCGTCTTGTTAAAATTACCAATAATTGTTAACAAAAGTGAGATGGTGAAGGTACCAACAGACCTTGAGTCGCCGAGAAAAACGCCGAGAACTTCTTTTCAGTGCAGGAGTAGCTGGTAGCTCCATGGCATGAGAATGATATTTTGTATCTATTTAATAGAGTCGACAAGGACTGAGCAGGGCGGATTACGGTAATTTCCCCCTCGACTTAACAACAAGTCAACGCGGAAGTGTCAAACGGGCCCTCGTTAAAGGTGTCGAGGAGGTGTCGGGTCGGGCCGAGTCCGCAGTCAACGCTTTAGTGCGGAATTAACTACAAATCGCTTGTCAACTCGTTCGCGATTTTAGACGGCTTCGGATCATTTTCGCGGTTTCTCGTCCGCGAGCTCAGCACCAGGCCACCCTTAATGAGACGGGTTTGATCCGCGGTTAAGCCGTGACTTACGCAATTGAGGCGTCGGGTCCAAAAAGGACATTTCTTAGTTGCAGTGCTTCAGAATCTCCTGAACTAATTTTTATTATAGAGAGGAAACCATCGGGTCGATTTTTTAAAATTTTACATTTTCAGCATTGTAAAACCATAAAAAATATCAAATGAAAATTACGACAAATTACATAAATTTGCTTCAATTATAATCAGTGAAACCTTAGCTGATATTTTGCGACATTATGACCAAGAAATGCCCTTTCTCCACCCAGCACTGGAAAAATAAAACACATTGGATGTAGAGTCCAGACTCTTAAAAACTTCGACAAGAAAAAATACTCTTGACTCAATCAGATTTAAGATCAAGAACTAAGCCCCTTAATTTGAGCGGATTTCCTTTCGATTTAAGCTTAAATCTGATTGAATCAAGAGTATTGTTTCTTGTCAATGTTTTCAAGAGTCCGGACTCTAGATCCAATGTGTTTTTTTTTCCAGTGAGCGCTTCAATGAGTGAGTTGCGCTGGTCACAGAATCGTGTTTTGAGGCTTGATTCTTGCAGATCAACTAAAAATAAAAAGATCTGCCCAAATAGCAAGTTTCTACGTTGAATATAAACCGAGATATCGCGCCTTGGAAAACTCGATTTATGCCGTCATCCACCGCGGTAATACATACCATGTTATGCACTACCACGGTGGATGACGTCAAAAACCCGACTTTTCGAAGGACAATATCTCGGTTAGTATTCAACGTAGAAAGTTGTCTTTTCTGGTAAATGCTGTCCAACGCGGACCCCCCCCCCCCAAAAAAAAAAAAAAAAACAGGTGCTTGCAAAGTTATTTTCAAACCAATTCCGTTTAAGACGGTTTCAGAGGTCAGAGAACCGTATTTCGTGGAGAAGTCACATCAATCTCAATGAGTCAAGTCGGGGAGCAATAAACGAATAAAACCCCGATTTATTGCGGGAAATGAATCTAATTGGAGTATCTTTGGAATCCTGGTCATCTGAAATCATAGCCAGTGCGTCTTATTCACCGTAAAAATGCTCCACGTTATGCGGTCTATCTTTGTTCTGCCGTGCTACGTAAAAACGTCGTTTGAGCATTCGAATGTTGCCAAACTTCCTTTCAGAAAAGTTTTATTTTTGAGGAAAGTTAGGAGTGTATTTCCTTGAAATTTTCAGACACTTTAGATAAAATTACAAACGAATTTCTCTGAAAAATCGGAAGAGAAATAAATACAGATTTTCTAAAAAATTCATGATTCCTCAAAGGAAATTTGGCTACGTCTGATGGTTCATACGGCGTTTTTCCTGAGCAAGGCAGTGTTCTCCGGAAAGCGGAAATAGTTACGGATACATTGTAGAGCTATTTATGACCCTGGCCTCTCCCTCCAGCCGTTCAGATAGGTATTTTTCTTTTATTGTTGAGGAATGAAAATGTGAGGAAAAAGAGGGTAGCGAACATCTTTGCAACAAAGTAAAATTGTCGTCCTTCATCAAGTTTTTTATCTCTGCATTTTTGTATCAAATTGTATGAAATGGTAATCGCACGAGAATCACCTTTAGAAAATTGTGTACGCTCAAAATCAAATAGGTATTGAGATATTTGTCCGGTGCGGTGATATTCTACACTAAAACTCATTTATTTTTGTCAATTTTTTAAAAATAATACCTAATTTTCATGAGGGAGGGGGCGGGTAAGTGTAAAAAGCTCACAGCTCCCTAGTATTTAGAGATGATGTTTTATAAACATAGGGATATATATATAGGGATGCATTTTCTTTGAATGAAAATTCAGTATAACGAGGAGAAATCTGCATACAAAAATTCCTTGGTCTCAAGTTGAAGTGCTGATAATTTTCATTTCGTATTGTAAACTAAAGTAAATCAGAGAGCGAAAAGAAATAATGTTGATGAATGTACTTTCCTGAAATGTTTGATCAGCGCCCCTTGCACACATCACTGGAAGTTTACAAGGGTAAGTAACATAATTATTTCACGGGGTCTCGAGGATTTAAAGTCACCATCATCTCGGAAAGAAATCTAAACTAAGAGTTTGCACTACAATCGCTAATAATGACGGCGAAAGAGCTGCCTTGGCCTGCTTGCCCGCAGAATGCAATCGACACGCGAAATGAATTCGACTCTTCTTCCCACCAAAGATTTTCGAGAGTTAGTATATCACTGGCTCTCGTTCCTTTAAATGTAGGTAAATAATCGATACATATCGAAGCTGGCTGTTCTACCTGGCAGCAGTTATTGCGATTATTTATAATGGATTCGAATGGAAGATACAAACTTCCAAGAATTGCCACTGTTTCTTCCATTCACGCTCATTACTTTTCACATGCTCATTGACCCAGTCCACGGTTGTGCAAAGGAAGAACACCGTATGGACATTCCAGCGTTGCATAAAATCATTTGATTAAAATTTTATTCATAATGGAATTAGCGAAGAATACTTTTTTTTTGAAAATTTCAGTTCCTTCAGATGAATGTACAAAAAGATTATTCTTCAAAATTTGAAAAATAATATGAAAAAGTGTCTATGAAATTTGTATTTTGTTATTTGAAATCTGGCAACATCCAAAGGCTCATAGATGTTTTTTCTTAGCACGGCAGACTAGACATTTCCGCTTAAACTTAGAGCGTCTTTCACTTGCACGAGTTTTGTGTATAAAATGCGCAGTGATGATCTACTCTGTCATCAGTTATCTTCGTGCTTCAAAACAGTCTCCATCAAATCTAATTCCTCAAAATGGCATTCAAGGTAAGCCTGCAAGTCTCTGCTCCACACAATTTTCTAAATAATATGTAAAAAAATAAGAAAAAAATATAAGTAAATTAAAAAATAATTGAAAAGGGGTATTGGAACCTGTGTTCGAAACTCACAGGCGCCAACGCTCCAAATGCGCCAAAAAAATCGGCCATGGCGCCTAAAAAATGAAAGCTCTACGCCAACGTGGCCCCTAAAAATTGCCCCCTAAAAATCTTGATTTTCATAGGAAGTCACATAAAGAAAGAATAACAAATCTATTTGAATTATAACAACTCAGAATTTTCAGCACAACAAGTGAAAGTTTTTTCTATTCTTCACGATTTCATTCTTAGTGCTTTTGTCATCCTCAAGTTACAGCTACTTACTGATTCTGTTCAGAAAACATCTTGCGTCTAACTTTCCACTTAATGCGCCGTAATATATAGGCAAAAAGTCAATTTGGCCCCTAAAAAATCTTTAATGGCGCCTAAAAATCGGCCTTGATGCGCCACATGGCTCCTAAAACTCAAGGGTGAGTTTCGAACACTGGTCTTAAAGCTTGCACGGCGTTTCTCCTTAACACGGTAGTATAGTAGTTAGAGAGATCGTCCTGGACTTTCAGATAACCCTGTATAACTTTTTTCTAGCTCTGCATCTTGGCCGCCCTCGCGACCGTCGCCGTCTGCGACTCCGCCAGCTCCTCAGCATACGTTAAAACATCCCCATCGCACGGTTACGGCCACGCCGCGGAATCCTACGGTAGTTACGGCCACGCTGGGGGATCTGACGGAAGTTACGGCCACGACTCGTACTCCAACGCGCACCCCAGCTACAAGTTCGCTTACAACGTCCACGACCCTCACACCCACGACGTGAAATCCCAGGAGGAGACCCGTGACGGACACAACGTCAAGGGATTCTACTCCTTCTACGAGGCCGACGGCAGCAAGCGAATTGTCCACTATGCTGACAACGGACACGGTTTCGAGGCTACCGTCCACAAGGAAGGCGGACATGCTCCCATCTCTGCCCCTGTCCACTTCGCACCGGCACCCGCTTACAAAGCTGCTCCGATCTACGAGAAGTACGCATGAGAGCGAGCCATCGATGTGAATAAAATGTAAAATTGTAAATAAAAATTTGTAAAATTACTTTGATTAGCTTGATTTATTTGGACTGCCGTCAAGCGAGCTAGGGTGCCAACGCAAAGAAAAAGACCTCTTGCGTGGGACTCGAAGTTTAGGTCATATGTATCTCTGCATTTTTCAGATTAAGCATCTGAACACTGAAGGTCTAGCTGTCGAGATTCGGATCACACATCTGAAACTTCAGTTCTTACATCTGAAGTACCTCAGATGTGAGAACCGAAGTTTTTCGGATGTGAAAATCGAAGTACTTCAGATGTAATGTAGGGGTTGCGGGGGGGTGAAGAGAGCCAAACAGCGCGACTTTAGCAATGACCAGCACCTTGCTCCACCCGGGTCCAAAACGCAACTACCTCAGAAAGCTTCCCCGGGGTCGTGGCCGCACTCTAAGCCGGAAAACTCGACGATTGATCGGTCAGCAATTTTGGCCGAACAATCGTCACTTTTTCGGACTGAAGACGACCACGAACGGGCATTCTTTCCGTTGAATTCGATGTAAGGACAAGTCACATCATGCAATCCTCAGCATTTGTACAGGTGTAATGCCCGCGCGACCCACTTTCAGCCTGCCTCTGGCTTGCCGTTCGTCGCCCGAGCATACCACCCACGACGCAGCGGAGCTTCCCACCGAGGTTGGTTGGAGGGTGTTTGATGGGGTTTCCAGAATCTTTCGCTGAAAGATCCTGGAAACCACCACAGTAAGAACTGAAGTTTAAGATGGGTGATCCAAACCTCAGCAGCTGGACCATAAGTGTTCGAATGCTCAATCCGAAAACTTCAGAGAACCATAAACTTCGGGTTCCATGCACGAAGTTTTTTTCTCCGTGTGTATGGGAGGATGAGAACGGACTTTGCACCTTCCAGCCAAAGTATCACAAGCGGCATGTGACGTTCAAAAATTTCCGCCGCCATTTTATTTTTTTACCGAGGAGTTGTTCAACGAAGCTGTCCGGAAATGTCTACGAATTTTCTTTGTGCTGCCGATAAAATTCGGTGACATTTTCCAACAGATTAAACTAACAATTTTCCTGTAAAAAAATGAAATGGCTGTGGAAATTTTCAAACGTCGCACGGCGCTTTTGATAATTTGGCCGGAAGGTGACAACGTGTTGGAATATGGAGCTCCTAGTGCCCAAAAAGGCAGCTAACCTTCTAACACAAAAAATGTCGCCGCCTATCTTCACATTCAAATATAAAACGAAGATGGTGAAGAATGTTCATGAATGAGCGTCCTTCCGTAAAAATGAGAAAATTTAAGCAAAAAATAAGTCAAATATGTGCTTTACAAACGACGGGTCGTGACAATGGAGATGTTGCATGTGTGAGGAATTTGCGATTTGACTGTTGATTCTTAAGTAAAAGTTCGCGAGAAATACGATGGCGCCACTGGTTTTCTCTGAAATCAACTCCCAATCTCAAAAAAAAATCTTTCAAATTGAGACCAAAATGGAGGGGATATCCTACGCTATTCTAAGAGTCCACTTCTACATCAAGACAAACTCTCCATGCAAAGATAGGAAGCAAATACATTGACAGGGCTGCCACTTTATTTCGAGACTCCAAAACTGAAAACACGGCAACCCTACTACTGTATTTGCTCCCTATCATTGCATGGAGAGTTTGTCTTGATGTATAGATGTGGACTCTCAGGATAGCGTGGGATATCCCCTCCATTTTGGCCTCAACTTGAGAGCTTTTTTGGAGCTTTGGGAGTTGATTTCAGAGAAAACCAGTGGCACCACCGTGTTTCTCGCGAACTTTTACGTAAGAATCATCAGTCAAATCGCAAATTCCTCACACATGCAACATCTCTAATAATCTACATTGTGGTAATCAATCCTTCATGCACTACTTGAAGTCATAGGTTGGCTGCCCTTTTGGACACTAAAACCTCCACGATCTGGCATCAAACTTACCAACATATCCGTATTCTCCTCTAGATACTCTAAAGCAAGCATACTACCGTCGTACCAAGGAAAAAAATTAATTTCTTCCGTATGCTCCCTTTAAATGTCCATGGTTTCATTTATCGTAAGAACTTAGAGGGTATGCGGACTCAGATCTTGAAAACGCGCAAAGCAACCTCCAAATCGTCTGAAATAATTCCCTCAAAAAGTAGAGGCGATTTCTCTAGTGATGATGGATGTCCCAGAAAAAAATGAAGCTCTGATTTCTGAGATCACACGTTAACGGCTTGTTTGATGAATGAGTGCGTCAGCCTAAATTATCACAAAACCACACGATGACACGGCCAAAGAAGCATTAGTATGAGGAATCGCTATGCGTACCCGAAAACTTTCTGACTCATGGTCATGAAATCTGAGAGTGATTCATAGGGCACATTAATGGGCACTTACGTTGGGTAAAGTTTGCACCAAGAGCTGATGCCGTGCTGTGAAAGACAATTTTGTGCCATTGAGTTTGACGGAGGGTGATGAGGTTTATATTGTGTACTCATTTATTTTTCTTATTTTCACAGAGACCATTCATACATTATCCGTGTTTGATCCGAAATACAAACTGTAGCATTGTCCACATGACTGTTGCGTTTGGCGAAAAGCAGTTCTCAGGATTGACCATCAACAGCAATGGAGACGCACCATTTAATAATACTTTAAGAGATAAAATTTCAACAAAAAAAAATGATTATAATAAAAAAATAAATAAATAAAAAATAAAAAATAGAAAATTTGTTCGCAATCCTGGAAGGACGTTGATATTTCATGAAAAATGGAATTCACTTTTCACCATAATTGAATCATTGAGTTCGAAAACGCACCAACTCGGGTTTTTTCGATTTTCACTTTTTTACGGTTCAGTAACACTTATGGATAGAAGCATCTGCACGCAAAAGGAAATTTCGAAATTGCAATCGGAAGTGCTTGAAACAGCGACGGGAAAAGAGAAAAATCGAAGTATTTCATTGGAAATACCAACTTTTGGCCATTTCAAGAGAAACGGGCGACCATCCGATTTTGCTGTTTTAATTTTCCGGTTCAGTAAACCTTGTACCAACAAGTTATACAAATATTCAAGCGTTATTTAGGTCGAAAAATATAAATTTTTAGGGAAGACTATGAAAAATCAGTCCCTGAAATAAGTCGGCGAGAACGAAAACACACCAACTCGGAAATTATTAAACGCTTAATTATCTGTCATCAAACATGGTGTATCGATTTCAACTTGGTGCTTTACAAAGTCTCTAAGTACATGTCCTTTGACACCAAAAAGGTTTTTCTTAAACTAACTTCCTTGCCCGCTGCGCAGTTTTAAGTGTTTCCTGAACAATTTCTTTTCCGAGTTCGCGTGTTTTCGAACTCACTGATTCGATTAAATTTTATTTTGCATCTCTGATCCTGAGACACCCTTTATGACTAATCTATCAGTTAAATGAGCCGATTTCTTTATTGTCTCACATTAACCAAATGTAGTACTTCCTTGTGCTTGGTGTTTTCCCTAGCTCCGGCACGTGGCATGGCAACAACGACGTCCATCAGAGATGATATCATCGACACGCCGCAGAGCCCATGACTCTAGGCCATGCCCGGTACCGGACAGTGATTGTGTGAGAAATTAAGTGGTACATATTAAAAGCCGAGGGCCGCTCGGCGGGAGGCGGGGGGGGGATGGGCACCGGTAATTACACCGGTGCATGACACAGCGTAATTTCTGAACACATTATGATCGTAATTTGACAACCGGAGAATCCTCGCTCGGGCTCCTTCACTTGTTTGATAACATTGTTAATAGTCACTCAATGAGCGTCTCCTCTGGTTCCTTGTCCGCGTGGTCTTCTCCGCGTGCTTTGCGATATATCGATTTGGCTGCCGTTTAAAGCTATGTAGAAATATCGATAAACATGGACTCCTGGATAATCGATTCTTTGCCATGGTTTCAAATGGGGAATTATCGGTATTCAACCGTTCCTGTCCTGCCAGTGGTCTGCTCCATGGTTCATTTTCACGTCAACGCTGGAACGGGTTGGGTTGTCGTTCTTCTGATGTAAGAGTGTAACTCGATTGTCACGTGAGCCCTGTTCTTCTTATGACTCCTTGCTTCCTGAGGCTCACGTGAGGATACAGATACGCCCATAGTTCAGAGGAGCTACCAGGTGTAGAGAATCTTTGAAGGAAGAGTAGAATCCTTTTCTGATTGGCTCTTAGGGTCATCTTAAGATGAAACTCTTAGGATACGTAAAAAAATGACGGGCGTTGCCGAGGGCCGGATTTACCTACTTGCCGCCCCCTTCTCATTCGTTTTGAAACATCAATAAAAACCATCAAGTGAACGTGCCAGCGAGGTTGGGGTGCATAAGACGCGTTTACTCGTGTTGGAAACATTTTTTGGGAAAGCCCTGTCAACACAACTAGCAAAAATTCACCGAACTTTGCGCGAACGTTAAGTTTCGTAAACCTATCTCTGCGTGGACAAGGACTTCCATTAAAAAGAAATGAACGAAAAAATTATGAGAAACAAACAGAAGTGTGGTTTAATGATTTTAACATCCGCCGCCGCGCCGCGCAGACCGCACCGTGTTTGGAGCAATGCGAGAAGTATTCACGCAGTCTTGTAGGCGCCACGCGTTTCACGATGACCGCGCTGTGTTTGGCGCAATGCGTGAAGTGTTCATGCATTCTTGTAGGCGCTATCCGTTTCACGCTGACCGCAGTGACCGCATTGTGTTTGACGCAATGCGTGAAGTATTCATGCAGTCTTGTAGGCGCTAGTATGTGTTACATGCCGACCGCCGCGCCGAGGGCTTGTCTTTTTCATCTCAAGTCCTCGTCATCATTGCTCTCTGCGCCGTGTCTTTCCTGGCCAAATTGCGTGTTTGGTCTCTCTCTTAACTCGATCAATTAAAGGTGCTGTCTCTTGTATCACCGAAAGACGACAAAATTAGAAATTACTATACTCTCAGGAAATGAGAGATTTTGTTTGTAATTTTTTTC